TTATATACTAACATACTGCACATCAAAATAGTTATTTCTTACTATTTTTCATTATCAACTCACGTAACCTATCTCATATTTTATTTGTTTGTTTTTAATAATTTAATAAACTGTACGAAATTTTATGTAGCCATTTGTTAACAAAATGTGAGATTATTATATAATACTATGATAAATAATTAATTAATTTTTAAGAGAAAGTGAAAAAGGTTTTATTAAGTATTTATATTTATATTTTAAATATGAAAATAACCACTCACTATTCACAAAATTTAATGCCGCAAATTGTATTTCACAAGCAAGTTCCACTTTAAAGTCCAAAATGTTAAGAAAAAAAATATAGGTATGTGCAGTAATATTCTATAAAAAATAGCGCTGCTTATAAAAATACTGTTTAACCTGTATAACTTTTACAAGAATTAATGATCTTCCTGCCCTAAATTTAAAATAATACAATCATTATTTCTCTTTAAGTGAATTTAGTGTCATGCTAAGCCAGTCTTCAGTGTTAAATGTAATAGTAAATTTGGTGGTAAATGGTTTAAATTGTTAATTAAGAAATATCATTGGGTTAATTAACACTTTTTTCGCTTGATTGTTATTTATAAATGAACTGTTATACAAGCGGTATATAATGTCGGGTTAATTACATTACATACTAGCAACATTAAAAAAAATCTGTTCAACATTTTTCGGAACTGTGATCATGTGAACTTAAACGAAAAGATCACCATTCCAACCATGTTTGTGACATCTGTTTTAGTCCCTTTAAAAAAAAGTAAAAATTGAATTTATTCAAAGATGTAACATGGAAACTAATAAAAATGTATTTCCAAAATAATAGCTTCTTAAAAACTTCTCCGAACGTTCCCCATTTCTGAAGTACAACCACTTTTACGTCTACGTCAGTGGTAATTTGTAATCAAAATCTATTTAAAATTTTTCGAGATGGCGTCATTTTGGTGGGTGTAAATGTATTTGTTATTTCTGATACGTACAGTTTCACGTTAAGCATAGCGTCACTGTCTTTTTACAATTTTATGGCAATTGCATCATTCCTGAGAAAAATGAAAACATAAATTTGTTCATAACGTATTCTTGTAAGATATTCTCTGAAAGCTGTTGTACAAGCAGAAAGCATATGTTACTAAAATATATGCAAGGTTGCATATTTTTAAGTAAACATTTATTTAGCGATAAGATCATTAATTTTTGGGCGACATGATAAATCCACTTTTGTTGGAGTACTGTCATCATTAAATGTTGGTGTCTTACCAGAAAATTAAAAAAAAAACAAAAAAAAATTGTGATAACGTTCTCAAGGTCTCATTAGGGTCGCACTAACAGCATAACACTATTTTGTTCCTAGAAAAAGAGGAAAATTAAATAAGTCATTTTTAATGTACTTAATCATAATCAATAAAATCATATATCTACTGATAAACCACAAGTACAGAAATGTATTACACTATAAACTTCAAGAGGTGTTTATTTGATTAATTGAAAATAAACAAACCAAAAGTTTTTCCTACATGGTAAGCTTTATAAACCAACAGTTCAGTGTCACCAATTACTCTCAAAATTGCTAATAACCTAATAACACCACTGAATTCTGCCAACACTCTTATCAATTCCTACTGCTTTATTTGCAAGTGAAAGTCAATGACCCTATGAAAAATAAATCCATTCCAACCAATATCAGCCACCCTAAAATTTTAGGAAATGTCCTGAGTAATAGGAGATTATCTCTTTAATAAGACCAACAACAGACAGACAAACGGAAATGGCAGACCATTTTAATATGGACTTACACTTACACTATAAATGTTGTCATAACGTTATTGTCCATAATTTCAAAAAATTACACTATGCAACAAATTAAAAAAAAATAAAATTCACAGAATGCACAGTATGTAGTTAAAATTTCTTACCTCAAACTCAATTGAGGATTATACTTGAAAGAATCGTATCACATCAGGTTTTAAAATGAAAAGCGTTTATTGAATTTTTTGAAATCATACAAAATTAATAAAACAAAACTCTATTTTTCATTGAAAAAGGTCTTTTTTTTCGAACGATTGATATTCCTATTGTAGCCAGATCTCGCAGTATCCCTCTGAAGACACCAACAGAAGTCTGCAAGCATGGGTGGATACATAAAAGCGATATTTTTACGATTAAATGCAATCAAGTGTCCCAAAAAGTACGAAAAACAAAACACCCGTTATCTATATTTTGTGATGTGATATGAGGATAAAACATTTTTTTCTTTAGTATATGGAGTATAGCTACTCAACCTATCACATCAGGTTTCAAAATGAAAAGTGTTTATTGAATTTTTTGAAATCATACAAAATTAATAAAACAATACTTCATTTTTCATTGAAAAAGGTATTTTTTTTCGAACGATTGGCATTCCTATTGTAGCCAAATCTCGCAGTATCCCTCTGAAGACACCAACAGAAGTCTGCAAGCATGGGTGGATACATAAAAGCGATATTTTTACGATTAAATGCAATCAAGTGTCCCAAAAAGTACGAAAAACAAGACACCCGTTATCTATATTTTGTGATGTGATATGAGGATAAACATTTTTTTCTTTAGTATATGGAGTATAGCTACCCAATCTATTACATCAGGTTTCAAAATGAAAAGTGTTTATTGAATTTTTTGAAATCATACAAAATGAATAAAACAATACTTCATTTTTCATTGAAAAAGGTCTTTTTTTCGAACGATTGGCATTCCTATTGTAGCCTAATCTCGCAGTATCCCTCTGAAGACACCAACAGAAGTCTGCAAACATGGGTGGATACATAAAAGCGATATTTTTACGATTAAATGCAATAAAGTGTCCCATTAAGTAAGAAAAACAAAACACCCCTTATCTATGTTTTGTGATGTGATATGACTATAAAACATTTTTTTCTTTAGTATATGGAGTATACCCAACCTCAAACACTATCTGAACTTTCTGTGAATTTTTTAGTGTTGCATAGTGTTATTTAACAGTTTCTCATCAAATGTATAAAAAAACGTTCTTAAATTTTCATACATTCGTAGTCAGTCTTTAAAAAAATGTGGCCCAAAAAGAGTTTAGCTGTGACCAGTGTTTGCACATAGGTACATGTCTGGGAGTTTAATTTTTCATAACACGTTTCGTTAAGCAATTCATCAAAATTAACATAACACTGATTACGACATTACTGAGTTCTAGAATTTGAGGTATTTGTTCAACATTTTTATTACTGACATGAAATAAATGTAAAAAATTAATTTAGTGTTGTTTGTTTCGTTTTAATTGTTGACTTTAAATAATTCAAAGCACAAAAAAAATCTCATGGACCTTAAATTCTACAAAGTCTAGGCAAAATTTCAGCAGAACAAATGGTTTTTGACATATCCTCAAACATTATTTATTTTTGTAATTAAAGTAAAAACATTTGTTTAGTTTATTTTTGTAATACCCATTGAGTTACTGCTATTTTAAACGAGTTTGTTACGTACTTTCTGAAATACAATTTTAAATATTTTTGAACCCATATGCCTATTAATATAGAGAATTTGCCGCCCATTCAGTACGCTGGTGTGCATTATGAGACAAATTTTAAAATTCCTGCACATATGAACGACAGTTTCAATTTAGGAATTTTATTTTTACTATAACCCGCATACGTACGGAACGAATAAAAACATGCCAAGATATACATTTCAAACAAGATTTATTCAGCAAAATTTTGGGATGACGTCATAAAATTTTTGGTGAGTGGTTACCGCCTACACTACAATCTTAAAGTAACTCTAATATTTCGAAGTAATCCTAATCAGTATACACATCGACGTACCACAGACAGATGAAAAAAGAAGATTGAAAATTTTGTATTCTACTTTGAAACGACCATGAAGTCACACCTTGGTCTAAATAACCCTATTGCAATCCTTCCCTAGCTTAGGGTCGGGAAATAAAGAAAAATATATTTCCAAAGTATAAGTAACATCCCACATTAATAAGAAGTGCTCTTCAGTTCAATTCAATTTCAGAGTACTGGTACTAAATTCAGTAAATTACGAATTTCGTAACAAGCTTAAATAATTAGCACTTTCAGACAATCGCCAGCATAATCGATAAAATTTCTCGTTCTAAACTTATTTTTAGAACAATTTTATAAATTAAACTCAGATAAAGAAGGGTGCAGTGCTATATGTTTTGAAGGAGATTTACTTAAAGAAACTTTTGGAATTTCTTCCTCAAAATATTTTCAACAAACAAACCATAAGAAGGCAGAAGTGAGGAAAACCTGCGTTTCGTTGGGTAGTTTCATGGATTTAAGTGTTCTAACAATTATTAATGAAATTTCTATAAAGATTTGAACAAAAATTCTTTTATGAATTTTTGCATATACCTACCTACATACATACTATATGTAGGTAGGTATATGCAAGAGGTAAGAAAATTCATCATTGTTAGTGGTTTTAAATTACTTTTCTAATGTATCCCATTGTGTTCAGCATTAAATACCGAGGAAATGCCTACGTTTTCTGTCTATTATAAGGTATTTAGTGCGACGATTTGTGTGGTAATATTGATTTGGACTGTCGTTGGAAAATGCATTTAGATTCTCTTCATTTTACAGTGTAAATATTTAATTCCATTTTCTTACGTTTCAAACGATTTATTTCGATCTTTACTGTCGGACGAAAAATATTTATTAATTAAAACGGTAGTATTCCCCTCAGGGAACCCAAACCAATTATGCTAGTGGGATTGGCACCCTAAAAGGGAGGAATGACGTCATAATTCATTTTTAAATTGCATGGTATTAAGCGTTTATAATAATGGAATTATGATGTTTTGAACAATACAAGGACATATGAAAATTTACTAACAATCGTTTCTCTTTTTGCACTTTAATTTTGAACAATGCACCACCAATTTCATTGACGTGTAAGTATGGTTGCCTATATTTCATTCCAACCTAAATTGTTGAACTCTTCAATGACCACTTGTTGAAACTCCCATCGCCCACGACGCGACAATAGTAAACAACCAATGGTGGGGCCAGTTGATGACTGTACCTGCAGCGTACAGTGGGCAGGGCAGTTTTAACGTAACCTAAGAATCTCAAAATTCGTGCAACCGTCAAAACAAAGCATTCCTAACCCCCATTCCAACCACCCTCATCATTCCTTAGCTCATTAGTAAGATGACGTGTTAGTCTGCAAGTGTTTCCATTAAAAATGTGGCGTTTGTGTGCTTTAAGTGTTTGTTTACTAGCTCTGGGTGTGATCGCCCAGTATGAATGGCAAGCAAGGGATGCTTTCGACGAAGTGCGTCGTGCCATGGACAGAGTCAACAAGTATAACTGCGAAATTCAACACGTAGGAGATTTATATTTACCAGAGAACTCTGTCTCTCACATCCCAGATATCAAAGATGTGAACATCAACCCTGTATTCCCCAATAGAACGCAACTTTTGCATATTCATAATATAGCTCTGAGCAGAGCATTCTTCTGGAGTTACATTCTTCAGAGCCGTTTCATTCGGCCAGCTATAAATGATACATATGACCCAGGAATGATGTACTATTTTCTTTCGACTGTAGCTGATGTGTCCACCAACAAACACGTCAACGCTAGTGCTGTCTACTTTTCGCCTAACATGTCTTATTCCTCTTCATATAGAGGGTTCTTCAATAAGACATTTCCAAGATTTGCCCCTAGGACATTCAGAGCTGATGATTTTAATGACCCTATACATTTGGAACGCATTTCGACGTTAAATACATTTACTGTGAGGGATTTAGGGGCTGTGCCTATTGATACCAGTGAGGATTATACGTCGGATTTTTATAGAATAAATGAGTGGTATAAGAGGTGGTTGCCAGATAAAGTATTTGAGAGGCATGATACCAAAACTACATATCAGATTTTCATTAGATATGCTAATAATACAAATGAGACGTTCACGTTTCATGGGCCCCCAGGAGCGGATGAAAATCCGGGGCCTGTGAATTGGACTAGACCATATTTTGATTGTGGAAGATCTAATAGATGGCTAGTGGCAGCTGTAGTACCCATTGCTGATATTTATCCAAGACACACGGGATATAGGCATATTGAATATCCAACGTAAGTTATTTAAATAAAAAATGTAAAGGCAACCTGTTTCTAAAAGTTCGCATGTCTGTAGTAATTAATAATAATACATATACTTATTACAGTTTAGTGTAGATTATTTCTTATATTTATATAAGAAATGGTACCTTAAATCTTGGGCCGTTCGTTCGAGTCACGTTAGTAAGATCTAATTTTTGATTCTTCACTAATAACATTACGAACGCAAATGGAATTTTAAATACACGGTGGAAACGACCTACGGAATAAATTCACTAATTTTAAAACGGAATTTCTCGAACAAGCTGAAATAGATCAATTTGTTGGTCTTTTTACGTGTCTTCACTAGTTTATGACGTCATCTAATTTTGAGCTTGACGACACACTCATTTTTTCATGAAGTGCATACCTACTTTTGTTTTTGTTTTGGATAGTATTAATATCTTGATCTTCAATAGTTCGGAAATATTCACATCTTATCTAACCAAACTACACATAAACATTGCATAAACGTGTAAAAAAGTCTTAAATAATGAACAAATTGACAATTCTTTACAAATCTAATAAATGCTCAAAATGTTCTCCATTCAGTTGTTGACAACCTCTCAATCTACAAATAACTCTTCTTTAAATTAAAAAAATTGTCGAATTTTGGTTTTATCAAGAAACAATCAGCAACTTTTGTAGGTTTTCCAACTTTTTTTGAAATTGTTTAAACTAGTGGATGGGAGCACACAAATATAATAATCTCAAGAACTGTTGAAAATAGAGGTTACAAGTATGGTTCCTTGAAAATGTTTTTAAAGATACCATTTAAAAATAACATAAACAATATAGCATTCTTCTTTAAAAAATGCATATGACGTAACAGCTCGAAAGGGGATGACGTCACAAATAGGCACAGAAACTTAAAACAGGCGTAAGTAGTTTTCAGACTACTCGATACGTGAAAAAGATTGGTAATTTGTAAACTATGACATTAAAGGATGATGAATATAGAAATTGAGTATGAGAATTGAAAAATTATTAGAATGACGTGAAATTGTATATACAGAGTGTGCCAACGATTTAGTCGCGAAACGCATACATCATCAAGTTGTAATTTTTAAAGTGGAACAAGCACATATTTTTTTACAGATTTAGATTTTTTAGGAAGAAAGCAAAAAAAGGGATATCACATACAAGGGCTATTTGATCAATAGTTATCAAGACCACAGTTTCCATCCCTGAGGAATAAATTCGTTATTCTTAATTCTTATGATTCTTTTTCCTCTTAAATAATTTACAGTAAATTTTGGCGTGGCCAGTCTACTTGGCAGACAGTTTGTAGAGTATGGAGAAAGTTTTAATGCGTTTACGACTCTGACTTCATAAGCATTTTACACCGGATCCCCTATAAAATTCAACAAGCAACCTGTGGTATAGTAGTCCCAGAGTGACTTTGTTTTTACGACTGCATCCTATTGTGGAGGAGTTAAATTCCTCTATAATACTCACTGTGAGAGCAATAGTCACGTAACTCAAAAACAGTATATTTGAAATGATGATTTAACATTCCCAAGTTTTTATATATTGTTTATGTTTTAAATACGAAATACTTAGGAATACATTATAGTCGTACTGTCTAGCTATTACTAATAGTGGTTTTTTGCCTTTAAACTAGAACCTTTTACTCGGTATAGAAAACAAGAAATTTTGACTTACCTACGTGACTATTGCACTGATACACAATGCCAAATATTTTGACTTGCGTGTTAATAAATTTAATACAAGAGCAAACTAGCAACATATTTTAATGAAAAAAATATAACAAAATACAAAACAATCACAGTATTAATTCATTCAACATCTATTATGGCTAAATTCTTATAAAATGTGTGATAATCTGATGTATTTAAATTTTTTTTACATAATAATTTTAAAAAATTTATTTCGCTCCAATTAACTTTCCCATCTTTACCATTCAAAGAAAAATTTATTCCCATCTTTTCGATCAATTCTTTTATATTAAAAATATTCTTCTGCTCTACTTCATGAACTTTGGCTTTCCAGTTTTTCTTGCTATCCATAACTTACTAACTTCACTTTGGTATTGTTGTTCGCCTCTTGAACCTCTGGAGTGTATCATTAGGAGACTGAATGGTTATGGTTACGACATGTTTCGACTTTATTAATTAACGTCATCATCAGCTTATGTTTAACAAGCTAGTAACATGGATATTAAAATTTATGAAAATATGTTGATAAAATTAATAATTAAAATGCCCGAGATTTATACAAAATCTGAGAACGTTAATTAATAAAGTCGAAACATGTCGTAACCACAATCATTCAGTCTCCTAATGATACACTCAAGACGTTCAAGAGGCGGACAACACCCCAAATTAAATAAAAGCTTAAACAGAATGGATCTCCAAAAATTTACTAACTTCACATTTGATTTAACTATATTAGAAGACATTGTGTATTTTTTGTGTTCAGTTTGTACCTAAATTAGTATCAGATTATCAGCTTCGACTGAAACATCAAAAGCTTCATGATAGCTTACTTAGATTTTATTTATTTTTGAGATACGGCAGTCTTGCATTAAGTGCACATGTAACTTTCGGAAATGCAATACAAACATTTTGATTAATTTGAGCAGTATGCAGCTATTAAAAGCCGTTTATACTTACATATACTAAAACTACATTAATTTTTTTATAAATTAATGATAAATTTAAAAATTCGGCAAATTTCGACTTACGTGAGTATTGCTCTCACAGTGCGAATAGGTCGATTTTGTCCACACCCATATCTTCAGTGAATGAAAGCGGATTCGGCCCTGTATTTCAAGCTTTTGAAAACCTTAAGATTTATGGCATGGTTATTTAAAGTTTCAAAAGAGCTCCTAATGCTTGCGGTGTAGTTGTCCCGGTCTGACTTCGTTTTTATGGCACTGTAATCTCAATTACCGCAAACATTAGGAACTCCATTGAAAATGTAAATAGCCGTGCCATAAAACATCGTGAGGGTTTACGAGTGCGTACGGCCCTGTGTAGTGTAGACAGTTGGTCTCTTGATGGTTTATAACCGCTGGATTGCTTGCGGCAGAGGCCTATTGTCGAAGACTTAACTCCTTCACAATAGGATGCAGTCGTAGAAACGAACCAATATTTGGAACACTTTTTTTTATAAATTTACTTGAGTTTGCAGACCATAAAAGCGAAGTCACTCTGGGACTGCTACATACACTTTGCGCAGCTAGTTATGATAGAAAAGGTCTTCTCGAGCAAGCATATTTACTGCACCCTACTGTGACGAACTCGTAAAAATGACCGCAAGTTGAGTAACAATTAATTCATAACCGCAGTAAAGTTTTTCGCAAATTTTGCCTTAAAAAAACACTAATTTTTGATTTATGATGGTGTTACAAAAATCAAAAATTAACCAAGCAAACTCTTACTGTAAAATATTTAACAGCGAAAAGGACAAAAAAAGAATTTATGAATTTATTATAAATATTTTCCAGGAATTTGCATTTCTGTGAAAAAAAAAATGGCAACAGCTCCGCTATTTTTGAAGTTGGAGACTTGGAATATTTCAGAAAGCTTTTTAGCCATCTTATTGCCTTAACATACGTATCAAAATGGTCGAAAATTATTTCAACGGAATTTCCCTCGCCCCCTAAATACAATCCAACAAACCTAGTATTTTCGAAAATTTATAGTTTATAATCTAAGTTCGATTTTGTACATTTTGTTTTTTTTACGATTACCCCTATAAGCTAAAATAAAGACATGTGTGTAGTGTTAAATTGCACGTAAACAAGCATGCTATGCGTTGGTTCCAACTGAGTTTCCCCATAAAAAAATGTGCCAACGTCATCAACATTTTAGCAAGGACACATATCAATTTGAACAGATGCAGTGTAACACTAATCATAACAATACTGTATACTCAAATTTTTGGGAAAATAGAGTGAGCCGTTCGTGATTTGATGAATACAATAGATTGGCCTCATTCAGTCATCCTGTATAATTAATTCTAAAAAATATTATTGTATTGATAAATCCCATGTTTAAATTCACAATATTTTGCTTATTTTAGATAGCATTTATTGGCAAAATTTTGAGATGACGTCATCAATTTTTGGGGATGGTATAAACGGATAAATTTTGATTAACGATTTACCATCCTTACGATAACCTTAAAACGTTGGCTACATTTCAGAGCATTCGATGTTGCAGTTTCAAAGTTAAAATGCAAGGTGTTGTTATACACACGGATTCATAAACCACAAATCCAGGAGTATCTTATTTTATAAATTTTAAAAAAGATTTACTATAGTAAATGTTTGACGTAAAGTCAGTCCACTGTCAGTGGGGATGATTAACAAAATTTTGGTTAGCGTTTTACCATCTACATGATATTTCTAACATATGTACATTCAAAATTTGACAACAATCGGTCTAGTACGTTTGGAGATTATCTATCTAATAAAAATAGACACAGACAACAGGCAGAGAGAGAGATTTTGATTTATTTGTGCAGAATGATTGAATATGTCATTTAAAGTTCTTTAAATGGGATACCTGTATTTTATAAACTTTTAGAACTTCACCCTAAATAACTTTTTGTGGTACCAGGTATTTTGGTGTTTGTCCTATTAAAAAGAAAAAAAAACTGTTAGTATAAATCTTCATAATTTTGGTATCAAAAGAAAGCTTTTTTGGAGGAAAGCTCTAAAATGTTATAAAATACCAGGTATCCCATTTGAATAATACGAGTAAACTGACAATTTGCAAATTTAATAACATTATATTATAAAGAAGCTAAATTATTAGGAGTATTTATTAATTTTCTATACGTCTAGACAGGATAACTAACAACTTTTGTACAAAATTCCAGATCTTTATTTTTACTTGTGGCGGAGTCGTGAATTTAAAAAAAAGTACTATTTTTCCATAAAACATATTGAACATTGTTCATTGGGAAACTTTCGTGTCTGATTTATTTTTTTCTTTCTTTCTTTTAGTGTAAAGGTAGTGTGAAGTTTTCAAGATAAACATCTTGTATATTTGAACATAATTAGCCCCAAATGTGTTCTGCCGGACAACGTCAAATAAATTTTTCAATAATTCACGAAGTATGCGTAAACTGTCTTCAGACCCTTGGACACTTTGTAAAAAATCTTTGTCATAACGGGTGTTCACCTGAAAAATCACACAAAGTTGGCACTGGAATTTCATTTGACACAAACGACATGTCTGTTCTTACAACATCCATTTGGCCGAAACATAACCTGTTATATGTTATAAGAATAGACATGCCGTTTGTGTCAAATGAAATTCCAACGCCTACTTTTGAGTAATTTTTCAATTGGACACCCGTTAGATATGAACACGTAAAATTTAACTTTAATTTACACATTTTGAAAATGTTGACATTGGCAGGATATTATTTACATCTGTAAATTAATGATATATAAATGTAATGATTTGGTGATATATCCTTGTAATTTGTTGTATTGTTGTATTTTGATATTAGAGGAGAGTTAAAAAATTTTGACTGTTGTAGTCAGCGACAGTATTGTCGCTCACAATTTGCCGCCTCCAACCTTTTAATCTCAAATAATAAATAAAGTAACACACATTTGAGCACCAGTGAAAACTAATAAAGTACCTAATTAATTAATTAATTAATGATGCAATGATTCGACATAAAAAACTACAAAAAACCGTTTCTGAAGTTAGAAAATAGATATGTACATACAAAAAACTTTTGTCAAACCTTTCTTTGTTGTACTTTTTTTGAACTCTTTAGACTTTACTTCCAAATAATACATCGTAAAAAAATAAAACACCTATAAGAATGTAGTTACTAGGTAAACGTGACGGGTGTACAATGGAAAAATCACTCAGAGTGGGCGTTGGAACATCATTTGACACAAACGACATGTCTGTTCTTATAACGTACATATAACAGGTTATGTTTCTGCTAAATGGATGTTATAAGAACAGACATGCCGTTTGTGTCAAATCAAATTCCAATGCCTTTTCTAAGTGATTTTTCAATTGAGCACCCTTTACGTTTTCCTTAGACCGTAGAGACATTTTTTGTTGTTTAAAAAAAAGATGTATTTTCGCTAAAAATTTTGTTTAAACAGCCATTTTTGGTAAAATATCGGAACTGGGTTTCAGGTAGTGAGTGAATTCAAGTTTATTCAGGGCCATCATTATTTACCTAGAAAGGCAGGTGTTACAGGGGGACAGGTTTCATATTTCTAATGGCCTTTTAGAGGCAAAGTTGTAAAAGTTGTACTCAGTTTAAAAAAGCTCGAACAAAAAAAAAAACAGGAAAGATTAATAATTAATGCGGTTTTTTAAATCACTCTTTTCCGTTATAAAATATTGTTTTTAGGTTATGTTAATAAATTATTATTACTATTATTGGGGAGGTGAGAATATGAAACATCCCAGATAAAAGTCCATACGCTGTATGTCGAAAACGAATAAAGATATTAACATTTTGTTAACCTTATTGTTTTTAACTTGAAGAAGGAAACGAATTTTCGTGGGTCATTATTACTAATATAATGAAATTTATAAATATAAAAAATGGAAGTTGAGTAAAATGAAGTACTCCCATTTTGTTTTACAAACAACCAATAAGATGTTTCAGTTATTTGACACGTTAAATATGCACAAACATTCTAATTCTATATTTTAAAACTTTAGATCACGCCAATGAATGTTACAAATGTTACAATCTTGTTTGTATGCCACAAATAGAAATCTAAGGGCGTTAAATCTGGTCTGCGAGCTGTCCAAGAAGTGGAGCGTATATTGCCGATCCAGTTTTCGCCATAAATGTGACTCGGAATTAAAAAATTGGACCGATTTCGACCGGTGGGCAAGAAATATTGCAGTAATTCAAATTTTTGACGTTTAAAATTAACACTAGTAATGTAATTGTGTTTGCACATCTATTTCCATAACGATACGTGGCAGCTAAATATTATATCTCTTCATTTAGATAATTTGTATTCTTCACTTAAAACGAATACAACACATAAAAGTGTATTCCTACTATGATAATGATAATTTCATGCTCTATGAAAATCTTACAAAAAATATAGATTGCTTTGTCCTGCAAGTTAAAAACAATGCCGTTTACATAATTCAATATTTCTATCTATTTTCAGGTTATAAGGCCACGGAATTTTATTTGGGACTTTGGTATATGTACAATCTCTCCTCCCCGTCCCCAATATTATGTGTGCTATTTATTAAATGTCCTCCAATAAAATATTGGACATTTTGTGACCATTTGTCAATGCGGCATGGACTATTTTTCGTCAGAAGGAAACTGTATAGTTGATGTAAATTGAGCTTAATTGCATAGTCATGCGTCTGATGATAGTTTCCCACATAATTATACATATAACACAACATTAAAAAATTCAAATGTTATACAACAATATAGAAGTCGTAGATTAAAAAAAAATGTTACGGACACTACAGAATTTTGTTTTTTCTTTTTAAACAATTAATTCATAACAATGTGCTCTCTATTTTGCTGACACACTAACTTATTTAAAATTACAGAACATTAAAATTGTTTATTCACCGTCTTGAAAATGTCATATATTTATTACAAGTATTATTTTTTCAGAACTACTTAAAGAAGGCGTCTCAAAAACTGTGTATGAACCCATGCATTTATTAGTTATTTCAGAAGTGTTTTCAGCTTTCTCTAAAATGTTGTTTCGGAGATTTTTCTTCTGATCAGAAAAATTATGTAATTATAAAATGCATTAATTTTCAGTTACACGGCAGTATCAGTGGTGGAGATGGATTATGACCGTATAGACATCAACCAATGCCCTTATGGTTTGGGCAACAAAGAGGGGGGGAATATTTTCGCGGACACAGCTCGATGTAAAAAAGAAACGACAGAAGTAAGTTTAACATTACGATAAAATCAGAACGTAATTATTTTTCCCATTCAGTGCGAACCACTCCACGGTTGGGGTTTTCGCCGTGGTGGTTACCAATGCCGATGTAGACCTGGTTACCGCCTTCCGATGCAAATGCGTAGACCGTATTTAGGCGAAATAGTAGAACGAGCAACATCTGAACAATATTACAATGGTTTCAATTGCCTTAAAATAGGATGTATGATATCATTCATTTGTAAAATGTCGTGTCATCATTTTGTTCGTAGGGGTACAAAAAATGCCCGTCCAATGGGAAAAAGCGACCTCTCCAGTTCGAAATTACTACTTGGACCGTTATCCGGAATATCGTCATGCTGTTTCTGGTCCTGCAGCCTTAGGCCAGTCCAAAATTAATGTACACAGAACTTTAGATTTCATTTTGGGAATGAATAAAAACAACTGCCGTGAATATAAACCTGAGGAGTTGATTTTAAATGGTGGTGTTGAGTACGGTGCTTATGAGTTTTTCCAAAATGAAGCAAAGATGGCGCTGAGGTTGGCTAACTTTATTAGCGCGTTTTTGCAAGTGTCGGATCCGAATGAAGTTTATTCGGGGAAAAGAGTTGCGGATAGACCACTAACCGAGGATCAAATGATTGGAGAAACTTTGGCTATTGTTATGGGTGATAGTCGAATTTGGTCGGCAGGAACATACTGGGAGAGGAATAAATTTACTAATCGAACACTGTTTGCACCGTATGCGTATAAAACACAGCTTAATACTAGGAAATTCAGTGTTGAAGATCTTGCCCGGCTCAACAAGTCAGGTAATATACTCAGTTGCTTGCTTAACGCGTTTTGATAACTATTGTGCTACCTTTTCCTATAAAATAACTAAACGTAAGGACTGACTACCCCACTGTTTATGACTTTCTCGCCCACTGAAGGGGGGAGGAGAAGAATAAGACCGGCATTTACATTAAACATGATACTTATTTCCGTTCTTAAAAATGTTTATATATAATTAAGAAAATTATGTTTGAAGTCATTAAATATGTAACCAGATTTCATCTGGAATTTGTTTTTAAAGTACTCAAGAACTAGCCACTAATAATACTATACATACATTTCCGGTACGATTTCTCAAACCGGTTAAGAATATTAATAAGTTTAAATTTATACGTCTGTTTCAAGTATCAAAAGTTTAGAAAAAGTTGTCAGAATACCCTTTTTGGTAACTTCAGCCTCCCAAACCTTCTCCTAATTGATTTTAAAAATTAAATAAAAATTAATAAAAACAGGCCAACCAGAAAGTCAGTTAATGTTAGTAACGATAATATCCCACTTTTTCATACTATTATCTTTTTAATTATTTTTTCAGATGAAGTATATTTGAATAAGCCGTGGTTTTTAACCCTGAAGCAAAGGTGGTTAACGAACTTCGACAGTTTAGAGAAATTTTACATGAAGATCAAAATTCGTTTCAACGAAGCGGGTGAAACAACAATGAAATACGAACGATACCCCAATTACTACAGAGGAGCACAATTACAACACGGACTGTGGACGGCCCCTTACTATGACTGTTACGGAAAAATGCCCATGTGGAAAATAAAATACGCGGCGCCGTTCTTTGGATGGGATAGCTTGAAAGTTAAACTTGAATTCAAGTAAGTAAGAGTTTTTACAAATGTTTTTCACAAAAAAATTACTTAGGGGCGTCGTGGCCGTAACAATGGATTTACTAAAATTGGACATCAACCAGTGTTCTGACAAATACTATGTTCCAAATGCTTTCAAGGACACCCACAAGTGCGACGAAAGAAATTCATATGTGAGTCGCTTAACACTATCTAAATTCACGAAAACTACTACTCTCTTTCTAGTGCATTCCAATTTTGGGTCGCGGATTCGAATCAGGGGGTTACAAATGCGAATGTAAACAAGGATATGAATACCCATTTGAAGATCCTATTACATATTACGACGGACAAGTTTTGGAAGCGGAATTTAATAATTTGGTTGATAACAACGAGACTCGCTTTGATATGTTTAGATGTCGGTTAGCTGGTGCCAGTAGCGTACAAGTTAGTATGCTCATGGTTTTGTTAATGATATTTGTTAGTTTTGGTTTATATGGTAGGAGATAAAACCAATGATTAGTTGCAGGGCTTTTAACAATTAGTGCCTTGTCTAAATCAAAAAACGATATTCTTTTTACCGTCCATTTTAAGTTATAGTTCTAGAATATTCGTACAAAAATTAATGTAATTATGTATGTTACGTGTACTTGTGGCCTTTTTTTTGTTACGAAAGTGCACTTAGTGTTGTTTAATCGTACTATAGGCCGTGATGCAATTTTTTTATTTGTTGGACGAACGTATTTTTTGTACAGATGATGATGTACATATTTTTAATATATATATCTGTAACGATTTTATTAGAATAATTATTTTTGTATTGCTAGAATGAATAGTAAATCTAATGAGTTGGTGATTTTAACATTATTCTCTCTACATTGTTTTCAAAAACAACACAAAAACTGTGTTCTTTTATATTGTTTAATCCGTCCATTTTTTGTTTATAATAAACTTTTTGTATTAATTTTTATTTACAATATATAATTTTAGTAATGGTGACCTATTAAGATGATCTCTAAAAAACCTCGCAGTAATGAGTGCCAAATCGCCATCACAGATCAATAATAAGAGCAAGGTTGTAGTTGTAATTATCAAGTAGATGTTACGTGTTAATTCCATGGAAACTGCACAATTCTTTCATTGTGAAATTTCTCAAATGTCAAACAGGAGCTAGTCAAAATCTTTTTAAAATTCGCTACTATTTACACACGCCAAAGTATCTACACAAGCAACAAATCTACATTAACCACTTACCAAAAAATTTGATTTTTATCAAAAACTTTTGAAAAATCCCTTTGTTTTGAATTTATTTAATGAGCATTGTCACAAAATGTACTACACAATTTGTTTTGTTACCCAAACAACCATTACTCGAACAACTAAACTACACTTCACATAGGATTTCCTTCTAAATAATTGTAGATAAACAGCAAAACTTGCACCAAAGTGACATAAATTATTATAAAAATCACACAGTAAGCAATAATGATTAAACGCAAAATTTTCAAAAAGGACATACAACACAAACTGTTTGACACATTTTGAAACTAGCTTAAATACACTTGAAACCTTTAAACGTCACATTAAAAAAGTAACAGAAACGTATTTTATTTCTAAAAATATACAAAGATCATTCTATTTTTCTATTAAAAATACAATCATTTTTTTACATTAGTCATAAATCAACATTGATAAATCTCGAAATCTTATATTTACAAAGACAGATAAAATTGAGCAACAGGCAGTGCAATATCAACATTTTAATAATGTCCTATAAAGCTACTGTAATTCCATTATCTAATCACAAATTTTGCTACCTGAGCAACACTGATTGGAACATATAATTTATATTCATTACACGAATTATAAATTTAAAATAGCTATTACTGGAATTAATAAAATTCAAATGTTATTTTTTATCTTGTTTGCTTTCAGGTTCTGAAAGATAATTATAATTTATAAATCGAGTTAATTGAATCAGTTGAGCAGTTTCATTAGTAATGTGACACGCAAATAACAGCATGTTTTGTGGTTTAACCTTCCACGCAAACCTCATAAACATGGCTGAATAAAGGCACAAAGCTAAAAAAAAAAACAATTATACAATAGCAATAATAAATACAACAAATTACCTATTGTCATTTTTCCACTAATATATTTCGGTTCTTTTCCTATATCACTTATGGCTGCTATGGGTATACCCCAGTTTGCTACGGGCCCCCAGAAGTGCGTGCTACAATTCACAAATACAATAATACACACATGAACATACAAAAATACATACCTCATCAAATATTCGCGGAATTCCTTGCTTTTTAACTGATCAACAAGTTTTCTAGCTAAAGCTGCCATCTTCTTCAGAATTTAAATTGTACGCTTTAAAAGGGTAATTTATTAATGTTTGTTTAAATGACCTACACAGGCACTTCAAGGAAGACTGGTCAAAATGTGACAGGTATCAAGGTTATGGTTAGGTTGTGTTATCTCAAATGGTACAGCTGTCAATCAGTATTTTCTACTTTTGTTCAATTAACAAATGGAACACTCGCAGAAGAAAAATTATTTTTTTTAAACATTAGTTTTTAAAAGGCATACAAATTTGGCTTTTGAAAGGCTTTTAAGGAGACATTTTAACCATAGATTTTAACTTGTTATTATTGTCTGTTTTAAACTATCTTGGAATATTTAAGTCCTTATATTGGCTACGCTAGAACACGTTACCATAGAAGTGCGTTCTCGGAATAAAAATATAGCGTCGTCTTCGTTGATTCACTATTAAAGTCTCTCCAATTGGTTACAATGGTCCGACTTGTCAAAAGGGAAAATATCAAAAGATGTCACCCCCTTCGGGAGTTACAGGAACCTGTAATTAATCCGTTTTGTTACGCGCCAAAACAGTTTGTGCTTGAATTGATATTATCAAAATGTCCAAAAAATATTGCTCTGTGCCTGCTTGTGGAGTAATCAAGGATCCTAGAGACCACAAAATAAAGCACAGATTCCCTTCAAACACTGTGAACAAAAGGCTGTGGTGCAAAAAGGTTTTTAATGCTACAAGTAGGTACCCCAACATGAATCTTTTACCTAAGGGAATGTATAGCCATTAAAACCATTTCATGATAATATTGCCAATAATTTATACATTTGTGGTAAACACTTTTGAGAGAAGTTGTTATTATTCAAATAAAAGACTTAAACCCGGCTCTGTTCCTATTTTGTTCCTCCATGGTTCCAAGTCACCGCTACCTGTTTCTACTTCTTCAAGCTACCCAGCAAGCACTAAACGTGATCCAGAATGCAGCTTCATAATTCCTGAGACACATTCCGATAACAATGTAAACACCTCAAAGAAAAATGTTCCTACTGCATATCCCTTTGAAGACCAGCCACGCCCATGGCGTTGTGATTTTGGCACCGGTACCGAAATTTTGCCTCTTTTTCAAGTAAAAACCGAAATACATGATGTCAAATTGTGTTAAAAAGTCAGACCATGACGTGCCATGACAGACATTTAGCCGACATTACAGATTCCTTTCCCTCCCGACCACGGCCATATATAACAGGTCTGCGAACTCCGAGTTTAAAATGGTCTTTTTTCGAAGAGATCCCAGAAGGCCACGGGAGCTTAGAGTTCCTAGCGCCGTCTACTGGATACTATGATGAAACTGTCCACAATTATGAATGAAATTTGCGTAAAAATGTCCTTGAATGCAAGTTGTCATAAATGTCAGCTTTATAGGTTAGGTTTTGTGACATCTTTTTGAAAGATGAGGGGAAATATACGTCAAATGTCATGTCAAACGTCAGTCGATAGCGCAAATAGTACAAGTAACTACCACATGGTGGCGGTCATCTTAAGCTCCCACAACCTACTACGATACCAGTTTTTAAGCGCCCGTTTTATGAAAATTTATGAATGGAGTTGAAACACCTTACTTATACCACCGTGCTCCCGACGTATGCGCCCTCACATGTCACATTTAAGGGATTGGAGAGACTTTAATAGTGAATCAACGAAGACGACGAAATATAGTAATAAATAATTAAAAAATTGCACATGCTATAATTAGCAATTTTAACTTTGTATTGAATTAACATGTTAAGACTGAAGAACTGACACAAAACATATATATAATATTAAAAAAACGAAACAATATTATTAATTTGGAAGTGGCGCTCTTTTCACCAGTTTTTGTGACCGATTTTGACATTTGTTTGACACTTTTGACAGACACAATTGAGGCGCGTTGAGTTGATTATATTTATTTATATTTCTGCACTCCGTGAAAATCGCAACCATTGATAATTCCAGCATGAAAGAAAAAGTGAGTCAGCCACAGAATGATTCAAATTCTAATTTAACAGAAGATTCAGGAGACGAAGGGGTATGTCCTCAAACTTTCTAGTCCAGATTTTTAATACAACTGTTATAGGATGAAACTTCCAGTGTTGGGAGCACCTCAACAACGTCTAGAAGTGCTACACCAACAAACAGAGTCCGCAAGGGGCGACGAGGTAAAAAGAAATACAACTCACAAAAAATTTTGAAACCAATTTACAAATACACGTAAGTTTTTGAAATTGAGGTTAGAACGATTTCTATTGCAGAACTTTCAGATGTAGTATTAAGGAAGATCATGGTCAGCCCTTGTTTGGCACCCAATTCAATCATCATTTGAAAGAGGGGCAACCTCTAATTTTTGCAGCTGTGGGAAGCAATCGGGTAACAATTTATGAGTGTCCTGAAGGAAATGGCATCAAACTCTTACAGTGTTTTGCTGACCCAGATGTATGCTTGTTTATAAATGTAAAAACCGTACCTATTGTTGAAGTTTTAGTTGGATGAAAATTATTACACGTGCGCCTGGTCTTTTGATGAAGACACAGGTAAACCCCTTTTGGCAGTGGCTGGTTCACGCGGGATCGTACGAATTTTGAACCCAACCACAATGACTTGTATACGACACTATATTGGACATGGACATGCAATAAATGAACTAAAGTTTCATCCAAGGGATCCTAATTTATTGTTGTCCGTGTCTAAGGATCATGCATTGAGATTATGGAATATCAAGACTGATGTTTGTATAGCAATTTTTGGGGGTGTGGAAGGCCATCGAGATGAAGTGTTAAGTGCTGTAAGATGACACTGTAATACGTGATACAAGTTTTACATTTAATTTTTCAGGACTTTGATTTATTAGGGGATCGAATAATGTCCTGTGGCATGGATCATTCATTAAAATTGTGGAAATTGAATAAGGATGAAATGAAAGACGCCATTAAACAGTCGTATCAGTGGAATCCTAACCGAAGTACAAGACCTTTTGATTCATTAAAGGAACATTTTCCAGATTTTTCTACAAGAGATATTCATAGGTTGGTTATTGAACTTTTATTTAAACTTTGATAAATATTACAACTTCACAGAAATTACGTGGATTGCGTTAAGTACTTTGGCGACTTTATACTTAGCAAATCATGTGAGAATTGTATAGTGTGTTGGAAACCAGGACGTTTGGATGATGAGAATCTCAGAAAAGGGGAGACAACTTCGACTGTTATACATAGGTTTGAGTACAAAGAATGCGAGATCTGGTTTGTAAGGTTTGCCATGGATTTCTGGCAAAAGGTAAGAAATAGTTAGAAATAAACACAAAATGTTGTGACACAGGTGTTTCAGATATTAGCTCTTGGTAATCAAACAGGAAAAATATTTGTCTGGGATTTGGATGTAGCAGATCCTGCTCATGCAAAATGTTACACGCTTCAACACCCACGATGTGTTACAGCAATCCGCCAGACTAGCTTAAGCCGCGATGCTAATATTTTATTAGCTGTATGCGATGATGGAACCATCTGGAGATGGGATAAAATCGCTTAATATTGCGATTTTTACTAGAATAAGTTTATTAATTTAAAACAACTTTATTTTTTATACTTACTATTAATAAACTATTAAAATTCACCTAACACTCAATTAACAATTATGTATCATCCTTATCTTTTCCAGATGATAACTGTTTTTTGGGCTGGGCTGTAACTTTAATTCTTGGTACACTTGGGCCAGCAAATTTCGCTTTTACTTTCCTTTGTTCAGGAATATAGACTTCAAAAACTCTATAATATTTTAAAATATTTTCTGCAAAAATTGTAAGATGGATTTATATATAGCAAATTGCTACAAGAATTACTTATGCTTTCTTCTGGAATCTGATAATCCTGCGCAATTTTTTGAGGTGTGTGTAGTTTTGAATCATTGTGATGGTCAGTGATAAATTGAAGTGCTTGTCGTAGAGTTGTCTTTCCAATAGGAATCTTGTCTGGTTCTTTAAAACCATACTCATATTCTTCAACTTGATGTCTATTAAGAGGAAGTGGTCTATCAGGATTAGTTTGTGCCTTTTGTGGTGGATTCTACAATAAATTTAATAAGCCAAAAGTACAAAAAAACTTTTCAATACTTACAGGATCATGTGATTTTACATACACATCTTTTAAATATTTATCTAACTGAACATGCTTTATTTGAGTCTCGTCACTTCCCTCAGGGTGGTCTTAAAATATCCCCATATAATCTATAAAATTAATGTAAAGAAAGGTACCTTACTTTTCATGATTTCATCATAAATAAGTTGATCACTTTTGTGTTTTGGGGCGGGAACTGGTTTCTCCTGAGAAATGATTTTATGAGCTCTGCTTTCGACATTAAAATTCCGGAGTGGTCGGCCCATCAACGAAAGAATCTTACCCATTTTGCGGCGTTCTGTAAAATTTGAGGTTATGTCAAATTATTGTAATGAATAAACTGCATGAAGCACTATTCAATAGAAAGTGCAAGATAATGATAAAATGAGGCCTACTTTGTGAGGAATTTAATTCAAAACAGCCATCATACATCACAAAATTGTTAATAATTTGACATTTTAAGACACTCAACTGTAGACAAAGACACGCAATCCCACTAAAGGTGAGAGAGATAAATAATTATGACCTTTTTTCGTTTTTTAAATGGCGAAATATTTTAAATCATTAGCGTACAGACAAAGAAGGAAATCAATCAAAGCACTTTCTTGTCAATTGTTTCAAAATAAAAAAAATGGTCAACTGAAATGCGTGACTAAAAAAGTAGGAATCGTAATATTTACCCGGCACTGCTAAACATATTCTTGTAAAAAAATATAAACAATTTGTTGTTTTAAATGTTTGTTACGCCAATGGTTAAAACGCTATTTCTATTGTAGCAAGGAAACTGTACAGCTGCCATACGGAGAAAACAAAAATCACTAGTTGTTGCAAAATTTTCAACTTTAGATGGCGATAATTTAAATTTAATCAAAGTTTAGATAAGGCTCATACATTGGATGGCCGTCTGTTGGTGGTTTAATTGATTTCACGTGATTTTTTTTCCGCTTAAAGATGCATAAGTTACAAATAAATAGTTTCCTGAGGTTGGCAGATTCTGGAATTTGACACTGTGTAAGATGGCTGATATCTGAATCTTAGTAAATTGTCTTTGTTTTCATTACAGATTTAAGTGCCTTAAAAAGTGATTTAGCTTTAAATAGTAGTATAGTTGGATGTAATGGAACGTTTATTGTGTGGTGCGAGTGATGCAGTGCCGTGTAGAGGCCCATCGGTGAAAATAATGTGTTAAGTGTTCATAAATTCCTCCACATAGAATGAGATAGATTGACAATTGACACTTCAAAATCTGTCAGTTCTTGCAGCAGATCCCATTTGTTTTACAAGAATCAAAGGTAATTGTTGGCTAGGTTGTTTAAATAAATTTAGCTTTGATGAGATGAATTGATGTTAGACAGTAACAGATTAGATGTCACGCACAATGCCAAAGAATGTATGACTGGAATGCCGTGCGAGTGAGACATTTGATTGTAATTTGGCACATAGCTCAACTAGCGCCTGAAGCATTGTATCCCATGCACGTTGACAGATGCTATGCTAATCTTTTACACCAAAATATTCCGATCTTGTCTTACGCCTATAATGCACACCGACCGCCCTCTGAATTTATATCGCATTCCGCGTTTTTGCCTCCATCCGCTAATCTCAGATTTGAGGCTTTACATTTTTATGAAAGCAAATCTCCAGACTGGACCATAAGAATGTAAATTAATCAATTAAAACATGCCATACAAAGGCAGAACCACTGTTACTATTCGCCGTGGAGGATGTCTTCACATAACGAAGCAGATCACTTGAAGTTGTTCTACCTCTTGGTTTCCCCTTTTGTCAATAGAAAAATTAAAGCTAAATTTTTTTTTACTTACAATAAGAAACCGTTACGTCTTGGTATTAAATTCACCTTTCTTTAATAATTTTATTCATATTGTCTAGTTGTTCTTTTTCAAATTGTTAAGCGTTTTTGTCACCAATAATTCGAAAGTGTTTTTTTTGAAACGATTATTAAAAGTGTGTTAATTGATTTGCGCTGATTGGTCAGCGAACTTTTTGCATTTTATTATTGGCGTTCATTACGTAATTCGGTTTTACAGCATCATTGTTGTCAAAATCAGTAAACTGTAAAATCGTGATTTGCCGGAATGTGATACCAATGATACCATTATTATTGTTATTGACATAAACTGCACATTTCTACGTGCTTTACATTTTTTAAATAGTTTTCTAAAAATATGTGCTCAAGTATCGCACGCCGTTGTCAGTATTATTATTTTACTTAAAGATTAAAAATAATACTATGGTTTCACTGTTTCAATAATATGCAAGACAATAAAATCTCATCTTCATTATCTTGGTACATGGAATGCACATAGTGCTCAGGTAGAGAGCAGAATAAACATGTGGGCGATGCATCGCAAAAAGGAAAAAAATCAGTAGGAGAATCTCGGATATTCTCGGAAAAATTTCATATTAACAGTTCGACAGACGACCACAGACATTCATTGCAATGCAAATGATTTACCATTTAACAAGACAACGCTTCCTAACATTAAGTCGGATTTAAAATCCTTATAATACTCTAATAACTCTTTGGAATTTGAAGCATCCACTTTTCTTGAGTAATTCGGTATTATCAAGACTGGTCACACTTTAAGACCTCGTTATGATAATTTAAAAATTTTCGCCTTCAATTCTATTAAATCCTGTCTAAAGTAATTGTTAAAGAATTACACAGGATGAGAATTTCCTGATGATGTTAGTGCTAATTAGTAATAAATAATAATTATGCTTTCTTGAATGCAAATAACAACAGTTAATACCAGCAACTATGATAGGATCTTGTCTAGAAGACAAATAAAATGATTCAGGTTATAAGAATTTTAAAAAGATGTTAATCACAACAACTAAGCATTGTTATGAACGAGTTTAAATAACATTTCAAGAATGAGTAGCGTTGATTGTTTTTTTCCCTTTTATTTAAATTCAGCCACAGCATAGTTTAATGTTTTTTAGATGCTAATTTATGAACGATAGACTTCCATGTGTAACATGAACATGCACAAAAATTTTTGCCGCTTTAAGGAAGTGTTTAAATTTAACATTGCTATTATTAAATGAGAACGATTAAATTAAATATTTTACCTGTTGTATATAATAACTAATAAATATTCTAAATATAGAACACACTTTTTAAAGAAATAAATAATGAACTATGTCTATTTTTTATTTGTTTTATGTTTTATTTTATCTTCATTTAATATTTATTTATATTATATTAGGGAAAAAATGTAATGAAAAATATTTTGTGATAGTATAATCACTGTCTTAAGCCTCAAAAAAACTACATGCAAAAATACAAATTAGTCTTAATTTTGTTTAACGCAATTTTTGCAAATTTTGCAATAGAAAAAGCTTTGCATAGTTTCGTATAGTTTCTTTTTTAATTTGCTACTTTTCAGCCGTACTTTTTGTATGAAAACATAAATAGTGTTCTTTATTTCATGTAAATGAAAAGTGTAAAAGATGGTTTAACGTTAAAAATGCGGTCTATTTCATCTATTTTATATTCACTAGAAACCTGGGGGGGTTATTTAATATTGGTGTGAGCAAATAGATATGTTTTCCTTGGGTCCATTGACTTTCAATAGCGAGTAAAACAGAGGAATGATAACAGTCTAATGGTGTTATTACCCACTTTGAGACAAATTGGTGATAATGAACTGTTGATTACCCTATAAGTGAATTCTAAAATCTCTTCGCATATTAGTAAAGATTTGGGTGCCTGATTTTGTTTTCATTTTATGTAAATCTCACTGGAAATGTATGGTACGACATATCTGTTACGTGTTTTTTTTTTTTTTTGCTTTTCCTAGAATGCAATTATCCTTTTTTAGTAATGTATTAGTTAAACTACGAATAAAGGGGCGTTATATGTATATTTCTAGCAAATTTACGGAACTATCACTGAAAATATGTACTCATAAAAATTTATCACATAATTAGGATTATTTGATTGACAATGCCGAGCCAGCCTTTTGCATTAAGGTCCTGGTAAACTTGTATACAATCCTTCCGAATCATTCGAGAGTGTTGCATAGATTGAATTTTTTATATGTGGGCCACAATAAGAAGTAGAAAAGAGTGAGATCACATGATCTAGGCAGCCAGTTGTTCGGTGTATTGCAACTAATAATTCTATTGTCATAAAATTCGGCTAAGAATTTATTGTAGCTCCAGTTGTATGAGCAGTAGCACCATCCAGCTGAAAGTAACCATAAACTAAGCTCCTGTCCACTACACCACGATCGTTACCGAGAAAACTCAAAGCGGATTCGTACACCACACGTATAGGAGTATATTACTGTGTAACATTTAAATCATATAAACATAGAATTCTTTGAAATGACGTCATCAAATTGTTGGTAGGGATGATTAGTAAAATTTTGGTTAGCGTTTAAGCATTACATATTTCTAATATACATACAAAATTTGACAACAGTCGGTCCAATAGTTTGGGAGATTACGTGCCTAATAAAAATCAACATAAACGCTAGACAGTATATATGTACTAACGTTACCCCAGTTAGAACTAACTGATTCGGAATGTGAAACGCAACGCTTATAAGAATAAAAATATTACCATCTACGTGGTACGTTAAAGCAAAAGTTCTTAATTTTTTATTAATTGTTATTTAAAATTTCGAAATTTGAATTAAGACGGAAGAGTGTTTTTCTTCCACCGGTTTTCTAGTGTTAATTTTGAAGGAAAATTGTGACGAGCAAGTCTTGTGATTTCGAGTATTTATATTTTGATTTTTCGTGGTTATTTGTACAAACGTATGGATCCTTTTAAGAACAAGATATAAATTACAACGCGGTCAGCCTTTCCTTTGTTTTACGGTCTTTTTTTATAGGAAACCCCACATTTATGACTATGCGATTCTATGGCTTGAAAAAGGATCGAAGCATTAAAGTTTACACCTAATTTACAACTTATCTAAACAGACCCTCTCTTTTTTTTTTTTCAAAAAGAGGAAAATATGCATACGTCTTGAAACAACCTGTATACAACCCGGCATTGGGAAACTCACAGTATAGTGGTCCAACTCTGACTTCGTTTTTATGGCACTGCAATCTTAATTACCGCAAGTATTATGAACTCTATTGAAAATGTAAATAGCCGTGCCATAAATTATCTTAAAGGTTTACGGACGCATACGGCCCTGTGTAGTGCAGACAGTTGGTCCCTTGATGGTTTATGACTGCTGGATTACTTGCGGCAGAGACCTATTGTGGAACACTTTACTCCTTCACAATAGGATGCAGTCATAAAAACGAACCAGCATTTGCAGCATTATACCAGTGGTTGTCGATAGAGTTATAAATTTGAATTTTAAAATGCGTTGTTTTTAGTTACTTGAAAATATAAATTGTCTCATTACTTCATTAGTTAAGGGACAAATTTCGAATCAACCTAATTTACAGTTGTCAAGTTTCATCTGATTTAATAAATCAAGTGATTTTTTTATCACTGATTTAAATCATTCTTTTTTTTATTTTCTTTTAAAATTACGAAAATATAATGCATATTACAGCCTTTTAAATGCAGTTTAAATCAAAATAAATTGGACACAGACTAGAATAAAATATTTCCAACAAAATCAAATGTTAACGTTTTATTTTAGAACTAGTGCAACAAAACATTAATTAAGAATACCCTAGTAAACATTGTAAACATAAATATACTATTGCTATTTATCAATGTAACTAAAAACAAACTCTGTGTATTGCTCAAAATTCTTTGAAGCACGATTCAAACATGACACGGAATTGCATACTTGCAATTGTTTTAAAATACGAGGAAAAGGAAAATTAGAATAATTAAATAAAATATAAAGCGTTATCACAAACCTCAATTAAATGTTTGATTACGATTAAATTTTTAATATGGCAGTAAACTACCACGTGACCGACTCTACGCCAATCATACGTCGCTAAACATCTCATTAAATGCGTGATTAACTCAATTAAGATATTCGATGAACCGGTCCATAACTTTAAGTTTTTTCGTGTTACTTTAATTCCAGATAATTTAAAAAATTAAAAACACAAAAAAACACGAAGAAAAAAAATCATTGATTTTTTTTTAAATTAATTTTTTTCCTACCTTGATTTATTACTAACAAATATTAAGTTACGATTCAAGAAACTGAATAAATCTCAGAACATATATAAATTATGCCTTATAACAATTTTTCATATTTTCTCAGAGACTCCGGAGCTACTCTTTTCGAAAGCCGGCCCCATATTTTTTTAAAAGCATTCAAATGTTTTTTTTTTTCTGTTTTGACCAGATGTCTTTTTACGTAGTGCCCAAAATCATCCCATAAATTCGAGACTTTCGGACCTTAACAGGTTCATAACTTTTCCTGCGTAATGGGTGGTTGCTATGTCGGGCCAAAATCTTACATCAGTTACGTATGATATTTATCGATGAAGGCTAACAAGCGCTTTTTAATCCGTTCAGAAAAATAAATGTCCTGGTTAATTAAGTGTTGTATTATAAAAGGATTCGAAACCTTGTTAAATCGGCGTTATTAGTTTGCCAAGTTTTGCAAAACTTGGCCTTTGCTTAACTCTTTACTGATAATCTACATCAAGAGATTTGATTACGTTAAAATATGATGTCCTTCTCCGGGACATCATTTGGGTCGAACTTCATAGCGAGATTTATTGTACACTTTTCTGCAACCACTGTTTGCACTTCTTGTGCCTTGGTCCTTTACGTATTTCGGAGGCGAATACATTGAAAATGTCTTGATTCCTAGGATTTTTTCCTTAGTTTTGTGGATACTGTAGTTTTAGACATTGTAAGTTTATTTGCCGCAGTTCTCACACGAGGGATATTTGACATAAAGTTTTTCCTCCTCTGTTATAATTAGTGTTTTTGGAAACTACAAACATAGAACGTTTTCTTGAATCCCTTAATTGCAGGATAAATTGAAGCCCTGATCCTTGTAGAATTTTGTAGATCACACGCGCGTTTATATTGTTTTCTCCTCTTTTCAGTATTAAAGTACAGCCTATATATAAATGATTCTGATATCAAGAGCGGCTTTGAAATAAAAAAAAAAAATGTGCGGCTCTTTTATGAGGTTTTTGCCATCTACATGCTAGTCAGCCCCAATAATCAGTTGTACAAATTGGTTGATTTTTTAAATTTCTGCTGTAGTTACCCATAACGCTTATGTCAGTAGTGAAACGTGTTTCGTAACTTGAACTTGAAGGGTGTAGGTACATAGTTAGCTTTTTCGAAGTTGATGCCACTAAGATTTCAAATGTTCTAAAAATCGTACAAAATCTTTTATTTATAACAATTTAAATCATAAATACCACATGTATTTGACAATGATTGCTAGAAATATTGACCCTGCTTCTAGACACAAATTGACTCTTTGTTTCTAACATTCGGACAACTTCGTCTCAAAGGGCATCAAATCTGGTAATTGAGTGAGTGAATGTGGTCAGTACGGTAACTAATCACGGTCATCATAAAATTTTCTTAAGAAATTTACGTCGTTTGTGCTGTATGAGCTGTTGCTCCGTCATGTTGACAAAAGGCATTGTATAGTTCCTCAGGATCGAGTTGTTGAATGAATTCCTACAGCAGGTTCTGGTTTTGCGCAGCTGTAATCAACTCTTCAAAGAAAATGGATCACACAAGCGTCTCGTTGAAACAGTAACCCATACAACAATTTTTTCTGCATGTAGAGGAGTTTCTTGAAAATAATTACGATTTTCTGCATCGACATTCGCATGTTTGGTAAATTCATATATCCTGACAAATGAAACCAGGTTTCATTACTAAAGAAGTTTGTATCAAGAAGATTATTGTCCATCGTTCGATTAAACCAGTTGTACTATGTCACTCTTTTCTCAGAATCAAGTGGTTGAAGTTTTTGAAACATTTGTATCTTGTAGGGATTGGTCCTTCTTAATAATTTTCTGGTGAGTGTTGTATGATCAGTAGACGTGTTGTAAGTCTTCTTAAAAATGTATGACGGTTATCATCCATAACTCTAACATTATCTACAATCTACAGTCCTAGGGGTTCGTTTTGTTGGTCTGCTATCCCCGATTTCTTCCAATGCTTCCTGTGGCACGGAATATCTTAACCACGTAACTCAGTGCATTTTCAAAATTTGCTTCTACATCAGGAAGTTCACAACGAAATTCCAGGAAATATGGTCTTGCTTCATACACCCATTCACGGTTAACTCCATGTCCATCGCGGAAGTAAGATTCCAATGTGGTGTTCAAAAGACAGATTTTTAATCAAAACCGAGAAAACTGGCAGGACTAACGAAAATACACATGCAAACAACCAAAACGGCAAAGAAGTTAGATTATATTTATGTTGGGTATGGCTACGACGTTATGTTATCCAAAATACACCATTCGTTTTCAAGTTGTGCACTGCTGACGTAAGTGTCATGAGTAACTAGAGCAGACATTTAAAAAAATCACGCGGTATAAGTCATGATAGTAAATATTTTTGGTCTTGCTCTCAATCTTATTTTCTCTTTATTCACTTTTCAGTCTCCTAATTTTCCATTGGTTAATACATCTTATACTTGATTTCTTTTTTGAATCTGGCAATATTGGTTGCCTTCTTTATTTCTGTAGATAGTTTGTTGTATACCAAATGTAGTTTGTAAGAGATTGTTATATTTCCATTTTCAGTTCATATTGTAGGTGTATTTAGTGTTTAGTTCCTTTTGTGTTGTGTTCATGATTTTGACGTTAGTTTCGTAAAACAACTTTTTATTAGAGATTTGAACTCTAAAAAAATATGCAAAATGCAAACATTGGAAACAAAACTGTAACTCACATGTCGTTGACATAAGTGCTATTTCTATATGACGTTTAACATAATTTGATTCACTGTGGAACAAAGCGAAAAAATTATGGACAAAATAATTCGAAAGCCACTCGTAATACCATAAGCAACCCAGAATACATTTACAAAACATTACTTTTGAAGTTTACAACGAAAATGTGTTTAATTAATGTAACAACTGGTCAAAATGCTGCTCACCATTTCCTTCACATGCTTCAATCCTCCCTCAAAATGACATTTTCACACACATTAAAATATAGTGAGATAGATTGTATGCCTTCTATAGTTTTATTTTCCAAATATTTTACACTGTTAATAATCGGAGTTTGGTAAACTATTTCTTTGACTTCTGAGGGCCACATCAAGGTAATTTCGCACCGTGTAATTATAATGTGCAGGAGCACCATCCTGTTGAGAACGCAAATGTTTTATTGTAAGATCACTTTAAATATATACTAATTATATTTTACAACTTTAGTCAAAGAACCGAACCCGCAAAATTCTAAAACCATAAATTATACAGGTACGGCCACCAGAGTCCGTCTGCTTGGGGCAATACAGGAAATTCTGTAGGTACGCGAAATGGCTTACAAGTTTACGACGACCCTAATGCGAAAAGCCAATTCGGCATTGTTAACCAAATAATCCTAATGATGTCATAAAATTTTATTAGTATACATTTAAAGTGATCTTAGTATATTTCCAAATTAACATCATAAAGTAGTAATGGTAGATTAGCGTGAATAAAATTTAAATAATAATTGTTTGAAAATTCTGAACGAATGCACATACACCTTGTTAAAAGTCATATCTTGCGTCTTTACTAACGTCCCTTATTCGCAGGAATACTTACGATAAATTACTATAATTCTTCTTTTTGGTTTCAGTTGTAAAAATCAAGCAGCTGCGACAGAACAGCATCAGGGCCTCTGCGTCAATGAGTACTTTCGTATGAATGGGTGTTTTCCGAGTGCACACTAATGTGCGGGGCGCCATGTGAATCACTAGTGTGTGGCAGGGCCCAGCATGGGCCAACAGCCTCGGCCCCAACTAAACATGAATCCCAGCGCGCCAGCCCGCTCGCCGGGCTACCACCAAAAGGCCATGGAGGAGATCCAGAACTCGCTGCGGCCATTCGCCAAGAGCGGCAGCGAGGCCGTGGGCTCCAGTGCGGCCAGCACCATTTCGAATTTCTCCGCAACGAGCGGCGTCAGCTCGCTGAGCTCGACATCTGGCACTAACGGTACTGATAAGGAAGTCCTCCAGCTGAGGCACACGCTCTCACAACTCGTCACCATGGGCTACTCCGAAGAAGTCTCGTTGCGGGCCCTGCAGCTCTCCAACTCGCGCCTAGATGGAGCTCTAGATTATCTCATGAAGCAACAGATCGATCCGGGGAACAAATGTGGATACACGAAACTCATACGTAAACCGAGCATAGAGCGAGAACTGGTCTTGACGAGGGGAAGTCCGGCCCTGGACAGCGGGGCGGGAAGTTCCCGATCAGACAGTCCGAGGATGACGGAAATCCACTCCAGTGTCAGTCGATATTCGCCGAATTTCAGCGAGCCGCCGCCGCCTCCACCGCCGAGGAATACGCCGCCACCACCACCGCCACCGCACGTGCCTTCATCGTATCCCGCATTAAACAACGTGCAGCAGCTGTTGAAGAGGATGTCGCCCGCGCCGATTGTTCCGGCGAGGGCACCTCCAGCAGTGCCCTCGTACAACTCTCAAGGTAACACTTACGAAATAATGTATAGCAGTTCTCGGGTGGGTCGTTCCTCTAAATGCTTTTGACCCCTATTCTTGTATTCAGATATTAGGTGTACCTCAACGTTTTGGTCTGGTTAAAAGTATTTTGGTTATATTTTGACACTACTACTAAAAATGATTCAAGGTTATTTGGACAGACTTTTGTTTTCCCTACAGTCCAACAAATATCGCTTTTTTAAAAATGATAAAATTTAGTTTTTGGTATTTAATAGTTCAAGAAAAAAGCTCCCATGAAGCGCTTCGAACCCGTGGCCTTTGGATTACAAGTCGGGGATGGTGGCATGTACACTATTGAAGTAATAATGGGATGCCGCTTATACTAGTGTAAAAGGTTATTCTACAATTTGTTTGTTTGCGAAAATTTGGATGTCTAGTTTAAAAAATTGGTCGAAAGTTGTTTCGACTAAACAGCATTTTCGAAAAATTATAAAATTTGATTGTGCGGATTTTATTTTTTTATGAGAATCCCTATAAGGTGGAATAAATATGTAAGTTTATAATGTTAAAGTAAATGGAAAGAAGCGTACAACGCGTATGTTTCAAATGAGTTTTTACTTTACAAAATTTTGTGATTACGTCATCAACATTTTTGCAAAGACACGTATGTCACTTTGGATATGTGCAGTGTAATACTAATGATAACAGTATTGTATTCCGAAATTTTCAGGAAAACGGAATGAACCGAAAAATTTAAAAACTTTTAACGCAATGATAAATCACAAGTATAGACTCATCATATTTTGCACATTTTGGATAGGATTTATTCGGCAAAATTTTGAGATGACGTCATACATTTTTTGGGAGGAAATAAACGAATACATTTTGCTTAACGATTTATCGTGATTACGATAACCTTAAAATATTTACAAAATTTCAGAGCAGTCGGTTGTGCAGTTTTAAAGATATCTATATTGTTATTCAGTGTTGAATCTTTCAGAAATTCTGGATGTCTTTTTATTTTAAATTTTGGAGATGACGTCATCCTATTGGTGGTGGGGATGACTAGCCAAATTTTAGTTAGCGTTTAACCATCTACAGGATATTCCTACTATATATACAAAAAGTGACAACAATAGTCCAGTAGTTTCGGAGATTACGTGTCTAATAAAAATGGATACAGACATACAGACGAAACGGGAGACTACATAAAAGTGGCATTTCGTCCAATGGATTACTATACACGCTTGGGAAGTAAAAAGCAAGGTGGATTCATAATCCGCAAGTATATAGTAGTAGAATATCATCAAATTGTTGGTGGGGATGATTACGTAAATTTTGGTTAGTATCCCTGAAATTCGAATAACGAAATAACGTTGGTTTAATATTCGCATTACATATACTAAAATTAAAATGCTTATCCTTACAAAGAATGAATAACTAAAATGTTCACTAAAAGTGTACATCAGCGCTTGAGGAAAACTCAGGCTGAATATCTTTACACCAATTTTTCTAGTTTTCACAATTTGTTTCTGTAAAAAAAACTTCACGTAATTTTTATCAATTTACATATCTCAACTTGTGTAATTTTATTCATTCCGCGGCATTCTTTCGCACGATAAATAAACCTGTTGTAATTAAAACGTTTTATTTACTCACTTTTATTTTTACAAGTGCAGCTTTTGGTCAAAATTAGTACATTTAAAATGTCGTATCGGGATTTTGTCTTTATTTCTGCTTAGTGTTTCGAACTTCTTATTCGGGTTGGGATTCTGATAACTCCTTAATATTTTTCAAAACCTATTTCAGTTTTTCATATTCTAACGTTTCAACTTTTTTTTTTAATTATATTTTTAATTTATTTGTTTTTATTATTTATGAAATACATACATATATTTTCCCCTGTCACGGTTAACCCTACTGCTATTTTCATCGCTATAATCACCAGACTTCGGCATCGCGGAAGTGATGCTAATTGTCGTCCGATCGCCAGCGTTATTGCAGTCGTGGCCTACAACTTCGGGAATTCTTAATAACAATTACTGCTTTTTCTAGATTTTCTTCAGTTGTACGAGTTCTCTTATATGGACAATTCCACCGTTACTTAGGCTAAAATCGTACGAAACTCTGCAAAGTTTTTTATTTTAAACTGTCCTCATAAGTGCTTTTACACTCTCATTTTTTAACCTAATCGTAGAGATTTGTTTTCTCTTTTTTCTTAATAATTTGATATTACTAAAGTCATATTTAATTTAGTCAAAATTTAATTAAAAGTTTGCGTTACTTACGCGAAATCTTTGAACCTGCCTTCTCTGAAATTGATACATTTTCTCCATTTTCTCTGAAATTGTGAATTATCATACAAAAACAGTTATATTGATAAAAAATTTAATTCTCGGGTTTTCAAAAACCGAGAAGAAGTTTAATTTTGATTATGGTCGAAAAGAGAAAAAATGGCGTTACTTACACGATGTCATCGTTACTTACACGATATCATCGTTACTTACACGATATCATCGTTTCTTACGCGAACTTGTGAATATTAGCTGTCACGGAAGTAAGAAAAATTGCAAATTCGTGTTTTAAACAAAAGAAAAAGTTGGTCGAAGGTTGTTTAGACAGAACTTGCCTCGCCTATGAAGTACATACAATGAAACATTTCCAGCATTTTCGAAAATTATAAAATTTGATTTTGCAAATTTTATTTTTTATGAGAACCTCTATAAGTTGAAATAAACAAATGTATCTAATGTCAAAGCAAAAGGATTAAATGCTAAAAGAAAAAATATTCAAACTTACCGAATTTACAGTTTATTTACTTGATGACCTTACCATCATTTGAAATTTCCATTTGTTTGTTTTCTTTTTGGCTTTTCTCACTTTTCTCCTTTTTATTTTCGTAGTATCTTAACTTTTGAAATGTCTTTTTCCTTTGTGCAGCTTATGTTTGCCCTATATTCCAGCTGATATTTTCGGTTGGTTGATTTTAGGTATTCGAATGAGTCTTTTTAATTTTTGTCGATGTTTTCTTACTCTTTCAGTGAATGTTAAAGACATTTTGATTATCACAGCAAAATAAAATTATTGGTAGATTGACGGCTGTCAAGACTAATTATTTAATTTCAAAGCTAAACCACCGAAAGAAAATTATCCCGTTTCGCGTAAGTAACGATGCGATTTTTAATAATAATCACACGGCAATTTCAATAAAAGTACATTGAAAATAGAGAGCGCGAACGAGAAAAAGAGATAATGTAACCTGATTTGCAATTATTTTTCATATTTCCGAATAACAGGAAAATTAGTCCGTTATCGTTACTAACACCAATTATCACATATATCAGAAGAAAGAAGTGTAATATTTTTTTAAAGATGATGTTGGGATAAGTATTGATCGTACATTATTGTCAATAAAGGTGCACTCTTTACAACCGTGCTTTATATTGTAAGTAAATCAAGATATTTACTTTGTTTCTAGTTCTAGTTGAAGAATATATAATATCTATCATTTCTTTGAACAATTTTATTATTCCTCAATAACAAGAAATTTTTACTGCGGGTGTTATGGTATTATAAAAGCAAATATATGCCAGTAAAATTTAAAGTTTTTAGAAGTACTAATTGTAAGATTTAGATTAATTTAACAATTTTCAAAAAAATGTGCTGAGGTTGACATTTTCGTGGAATTGCCCATATGTTAAAATGCTTTAAAAATTAAAAATGACTGTTCAACATCACAATTTTCGTGATGATCTTGATCAGATGTACCATGAATTGCATCGAACTCCACTGAGGTTGAGACTGCACAGTCGGCCAGCCAAATTTATCGCCTGACGTAACGCCGTCGTTTTTAATATTTGTCTGATTGATTCCCCATCACTTGGGCTGTGCCTAACTCTGATAATCACCTATGTGCTATTTAATCGTTATTAAATGTGGCTTTTCTTCCAAATCAGTATCAGTCACCACTAATACGAATTAGCCCTCTCTTATTAGCAAAATCCAAAACTGTCTCACTATATATTTATTTTCTACCACATCGATCGTTTATGCATGGTAATAACATTCATGTATGTAAATGCAGACTTTAGTATTAAAACTGATAAAAAAATTCGTCGTTATTTAAACAGACCTGCCGGACCTGTCAGGTACAATAAATGTTGTTGACACCACGTATTTTTTACTCCTCATAGATTTGTTTAATAATTTTTGAGTGGTCATAAATATATTAATTTTGTTACTACTTGGAACATAACACGATCATGATGTTGCTATCTATTCAAAATTTCAGGAAATTAGGTATCGATAATAATAAATCGATAAAATTAATTAATTAATATTTTTTAACGCTTTCCACAAGCACAGTAAAATGGAAACAACAAAATAGGAGTAGGTTATTAAAAGACACTCAGAGAAACAAATTTTAAATGACGTCCATTTAGAAAAATTTTGAAGAGTGCATCAATTTTTTATTTAATTTTACCATTTAGATGATCAAATTATGTTGTGTGTAGTATATTTCCAACAGACAGACCAAGGATAAACAGGGAAACTGCGGTTACTTTCTACAAGTAGGTATTTTGTGGTCAGCTCACTGTGTTCGGAATCGACTGGGCTTCAGCATGTTGTACAACTTGTTAACTTTGACTGTTATCTGATTAAATACAGCTTGTAAACGCCAAGAAAACGTAAAATTAGACATTCGTCAAAATTACCTTGTTGTGACTGTTCTTAGCTGTTATTGGAGAAGTAGAAAAATATACATAGAACCAGCTAGAAAGCTTAGAAAATTATTGTTATAGTAAATGCGACATGTAAATTATTATTATTAACCAATTATTACTCATTAATGAAATAAAAACATACTAAATGTTATAAATAATTTTTGCATGTAGTTTGAGAAACTTGTGCTATCTTCTTGGGCAAACGGAAGTTTTCGGAACACACAGTAAAATGTATTTTTCGAATTTACCGCGATTCTGTAGTTCCGCCCCCACAGAGCGCGCAGTTTAATAAAAAATCCTCGAACTTTAACTGAATTTGGTCCTAGTGCTTTTTCAGCGAAGTCTGGTTATGTTGTTATTCTTATAACTTCTTATACATTTGCTTGTAAACAGTTATTGTAATTCATCTGTTTTTACTGCTTTTATTTCATGACTACACTTTCTATCGACCATTTAGAAAATTCCCGCCATTCACCATTAATTCGAACATTTATATAGAGTAATGGACTCTGTGTATAGATGCGTAATTCGACTTCAAATTCAGAAGTATGATTGTCATCAGGACTTACCGTAGATGACAAATATATCAACACTAGATATTTATTATTATTATTATTATTATTATTGTATTTTCTGTTCTGTAATGCAATAATTGGACAACTGTCTGTTACAGTGACTATAGCTTCATTATTATTGTTACAGGTCTTCAGCAGAGAGGTACTAGTCCAGTGAGTAGTGTATCATCTTCATCGGGAAGACAGCCAATGGTGGTGCAAAACGGGCCACAGGTTCAGCAACAGCTATCTCAGCAAATCCAAGCTCTTAGTTTGTACCAGAGTAGCAGTGCATCAACGGCCGAACCACCACCTCCATACCCTCTCATCCCCCCGAGTCCTTCCAACGCTCCGCCACCTCCTCCTTCCTATTCCGCTTCCATCCAAAACCGCCACAGTCCCACCCAAGACTTCCGAAAGAGTCCTTCATCTGGTATTTATTCAGGTTCTACATCAGCCGGTTCACCTAGTCCCATCCCCGTATCAACCACCACGCCCACCGCCATGGCCAGACCCACTCCTCTCCTAGCGTGGGGCGCCCGACAAGCCAAAACTCAACCACCCATCATCATGCAATCCGTCAAGAGCACCCAAGTCCAGAAACCCGTACTACAAACCGCCGTCGCTCCCACCTCGCCACAAATTCCCACGTCTCCCACCAGCACCACCCCGTTGGTCACGTGCGCGCCGCCTCCATCGTATACGGCCTCCATACAGCAGAAGGGCTACACCACCAGCCCCAAGCCGGCGGCGCCGCTTCCGGCCGGCGTGACGACAACGCCCGCCAACACCGCCACGCCTGTGGTGGTGCCGACGACGGAGCCGCCGAGTTACGCGAGTACCATGCAAGCGAAAGCGAAGGCTCAGCGGGGAATGGGTCTGGCGCCGCATCCGCCTCCTCCATATTCCGACGAAGGCCACGCGCAAGTCAACACGGTGGAGTGCGCGATGTCTCCGAGGGCTTCGCCGAACGTCCATCCTCCTCTCCAGAGGAAGTATTCGCCGGTCGTGTCGACGGAATGTGTGGTATCGAGGTCGGATAGTCCGCAGTCGACGTCGTCGGGAGATAGCAGGCCGTCGTATCCAGATAATGGGGCACCGCCGTTGCCGCCTACAGGTCGGTAGTTGTTTATGTAGATTAGAGGAAGGAAATAATTAATAATTTGTCTGATTGAGACTTTCTTGCGATAGAGATTAAAACCGCTTGAAAACCTTGTATAGAGTGGGAATATAGAGGTTATTGTTTTCTTGTAGGCTGTTTATGAAGTAACAAGTACGATCGGAGATTTATCTTAAAGTTACAATTCAAATTGCGTAGTTTTCGCAGTTGTAACACAAATTTTTTAAATATCACCCTTTATTGACTCTTCTTAGCTTATTTTCGCACTGGTCAAAAAATCGATGATCCGTGGCATTATTCAATGTAAGTTTGACTGATTTTCAAGAAGAATTTTCTGCAGTGGCCTGACGTTTTAGATGGCACTTCTTTAGAATCCATCCGCAGAAAATAGAGCTTTCACCTCACACAGTGTATTGAAGAGTTCCTTCAGGCGTTTGATATTTTCGCGTTTTGTGCACAGGTTTGTGAGGATGAAGGACTAAATAATCTGTACCGTGTAAGCTGCTCGCTTGCAACCAGTGCTCTGACGAAAACATATCTAAACAACCGATTAACGTTAAAATATTTGATTGGTCGCGATATTTTCAAAAATAGTGTAACCAATCGAGATTTACATAGGCTTATACAGCCTCAATTAAGCTGCTGTATTGTATAAATAAGTGCCAAAAATATTTGATATGAAGTCATTAATGTGTAGCTAATTTTACTATTAACCTTTCCTCCATCAATCATAATTTTTGTCCAAGTTTTAAATCTATTTTAAATACACTCCCCACAAAAATTGTGATACCACCTGTAGTTCTAGTGAAAGAGAGTACATGTAGCTACCATATAACTACATATTAGGGATGCAAGACAATGCGAAATAATGACAATATTTAATGTGATTTCGACCGATATGTTTCTTCTACAAAATATATTCAAATTGGAAGTATACAAAATTTTAAGGGATAATTTTTGTCTGGAGTATATATTTTTTCATTGTTTTCTTTTAATTTTTAACAAGTATTTGACATTTATAATGACAGCTACTTCAATTTTGCCACCAAATTACAGAAAATATTTTTTTTACGTCTTTTTGTTCCCCCAGCATAAGCTAATTTCATATTTTCTCGATATTTTATGACCCCTAAAATATATTTAAAAAATCTGGTCGAAAGTTATTTCGACAGGCACGTTGCGCAAAATTTGTAGGCGCACAATTCGTAACTCTCTTCGTTTGTGTAACACAAAACAAAGATGGATATCGCAACAGTTATGTGAGCTTATACGATTTTATACTATTTTTTTTGCGAAAATTTGGATATCTAGGGGAAAAATTAAAAGCGGATTCATACACCACGAGTGTAGGAGTATATTATTGTATAACATTTAAATAATTTTAATCTAGAAACTTTTAAGATGACGCCATCATTGGTAATGGGGATGATTAGTCAAATTTTTGGTTGATATTTTACCATTTACATTATATTCCTAATATGTGTACTTACAAAATTTGACAACAATCGGAGTAATAGTTTCGGAGATTATCTGTCTAATAAAAATCGATACAGATGACAGACGACAGAGAGACGGAAATGGGAGACCACTTTTTTGTATTCAACGGGCCATGAAACGTTGAAAAAACATGAAAGGGGCAAGTCGCCCGTCGGGCTCTCTTACAATACTTGAGTAAAAGATCTCCCGTTTCCGTCTGTCGTCATATAATATTATATCGAGAGTTATAACGAAAACCCGATAAGTGACGAAAATTAGAATAACTACATACTTTTATTTTTACTGCCATTTAATTTTAACATAATCAATTTGGCGTCCCCTACAGATCACAAGCAAATATTCCTAGTTATTTGAGTCTCCTTATTAGTGTTTTACTTTGTGAATAAATTTTACTGAGCAAAAATTTATTAAATAATAATTGTAACTCTGTTTCAAATTTTCGTCACGTAACGGGTTTTCGTTTTATACCCTCGATATACTTGTTAGAACAATTTGCTACGACTACTACAAACGAAAATTGTCTTCAGGTGTCCTGAGTGTAAATTTTACACATACCCCACTTTTTGGCTATGTTGATTCACATGCCTCATTTCAAACATTTCGATTCAAGTTGATAAGTATAAAGGAAAACTTGTTTCTGATAACCTCTGGAAGATTTTTTTCCCCCAAACCTATTCTAAAGGTATACTGCTTAGCTATAGTTTAATGTTAAAATGAATTAATTTTTACTTCCCAACCATACGCAGGGAACTATTGTAATAAAGAGTCCATCTGGTAACCGGTTTACGGTTTTTGGGAGTCCGTATTGATTTTTTCCTTCGACATTCAGATTTTTGTGAAAAAAAAGTTCTTTTTACAGTGTACTTGGTGTTATCTATATTTTTTTAAAACGAGACGAAGGAATAAAGAAGTATTGTAATAGACTGCATCCGGCGAATGGTTGCTTTAATGTTTTCTTGACGTTTCATGATTCCTAGAGTGTGAAATAAACGCTCTCCCATTTCTGTCCGTGTGTCTGTCTGTTGTCTGCCGCGTGTCCTTCATCGCCTGTGTCGATTTTTATTAACCAGATGATCTCCGAAACTACTAGACCACGTATTGTCACATTATATATTTATTTTAGGAATACCGTGTAGGTGATAAAACGCTAACCAAGATTTGTCTAATCATTGCCACCAACATTGTGATGACATCATTTCAACATTGCATAGTAAATGTTATTTAAATTTTATAAAATAACATACTCCTGTTCTTGTGGTTTATGTGTTAGGCTCGATTTTTTGTTATTATTATAATTTTTATTATTTAATCCTACTTCTTTACGCATATAACACGAAGCTGCACAAGCTTACTTGGTAGAATTGTAGTACGAGCGCTTGCTTTACATTCCCAATTTTTTTAATGATCAAGTCAAGAACGATTAACCCCATTTTTTCGAAAATGTGACAATACAGTAATATTGCGCTCGCCTATATGTAATATAGTAATAATATATAAAATAATAATTGTCGTAATAACAGCTGCTCACCCATAATGGTATTCGGACCTTTTGCTCCATTGTAGCTTAATTTATTAATGATTAGTCCTGGGTTTTGAGGGGACAAAATCAATCAATTTTCATGTTCTTGTAACACAAATGCATACTTTTTATCTGTGGTCGCTGATGCGGGTTATCTGTATAGTGTTAATAGTCGAATTTTTGTAAGTATAAACATAAACAGTCGAAGTTCAACATTTTTCGTATCTCTATTTATTTGACTGTACTTCAGAGCGGAGGAAGTTGTATCTAAATAACCTTAGACCAATTCTTCACATTTTATCCTAGGGAGGTATTGTAATACGGTCCATTTGTCGAATACCTAATTTCTGTTTTCGCGACGTTCCCTTGGTTCTAGAATATAAAAGGTGGGTCCATTTCTCCATCATCTGAACATATTGCTTTGAAATTTAAGACGTATTTTAAGAATATCGTGTAGATGGTAAAACGTTAACCAAAATTTGTGTGTTCATCTTCACCAAAAATCTGATGACGTCATCTCAACATTTCGTTAAGTAAATCCTATTTAAAATCCACTCCTGTTTTAACTTTGCGTATGTAATATGTATGTTTTCTTGGAAACACGTATGCATTTTATTGTTAATGTATTCATTGCTATATATTGGTAAATCAGTACATGGCTAATCACGATCAGTATTTATTTTTTAATCCATTTCAAAACTTTAATGACATCATCTCATGTCAATGTGGAGGATAGCATACGTCTATACTTTTTCTTTTTAAAATTATTTATCCAAAACGTCTCAGAATTCTTATTTTTATTTCCTGAGCGTAAGCAAAGGAAGTATTGTAATCGAGTCCGACTCTCTATTTTTACGTTTTCTCGACCGTTTATGACCCCTACAGTACGAGGTCTCCCGTTTCCGTCTCTCTGCCGTCCCGGAATTTTATTAGACATATAATCTCCGAAAGTACTGGGCCAATTGTTGTAAAATTTTGTTTTTATATTAGGAATATCATGTAGATGGTAAAACGTTAACCAAAATTTGTCTAATCATCCCCACCACTAATGTGATGACGTCTCTTCAAAATTGTACATAGTAAACAGATTTTAAATTGTATAAAAAACATAGTCCTACACATGTAGTTTATGACTCCGAATTGAGTTTTTACCCGAAACGTTCAAATTTAAAAAAAAAACATTATGAAACATTTTGCAATTTAATTTTGAATAATAAATAAAAATAATTTTGCCGAATAAATCCTATCTAAAATGTAGAAAATATGATGAGTCTGTACTTGTCATTCCATTCATCTTTTTTGGATTTGCATATACAGGGTGACTAAAAAAAAATGAATGTGTGAATTTATATTATTGATTTAATCAGGAACTGCAAAACCGAATGCTTTAAAATCGTGGAGATGTTTTAAAGTTGTCATAGGCATGGTAAATTTTTAATCAAAAAGTATTTGCTCATCTCCCTCTAAAAAATTGATGACGTCACCTCAAAATTTTGCTGAATAAATCCTATCTTAAATGTACAAAATATGATGAGACAATACTTGTCATTTATCATTCCATTAATATTTTTTGGATTTGCATACACAGGGTGACTCAAAAAAATTATTCAATTCGTGAATTTATTGTATTTATTTGATCTACAAAACTGAATGCTTTGAAATCTTGGAGATGTTTTAAAGTTATCATAAGCAAGGTAAATTTTTAGTCAAAATGTATTTGCTCATCCCCCCTAAAAAATTGATGACGTTACCCCAAAATTTTGCTGAATAAATCGTATCTTAAATGTGCAAAATATGATGAGACAATACTTGTGATTTATCATTCCATTCATATTTTTGGATCTGCATATACAGGGTGACTCAAAAAAATTATTGAATGCGTGAATTTATTTTATTTATTTAATCAGGAACTATAAAACCGAATGCTTTGAAAGCTTGGAGATGTTTTAAAATTATTATAAGCATGGTAAATTTTTGATCA